CAACCTAAGACAGGAGGCTGACGCCTAAAGGTCAGTTTTCCGATGACGGGTAAGAACCATATGTTGAATTGGACAACCTACCAGGCACGGTCCTTAAGCCACATTGCTTGTTGTTTAATTAATCAGAAGGGGGGAGATGCTGGGAGCCATTAGCCAAGTAGGTATGACAATTTCCTTGCCAGCGTACCCCATGTTGCTGACATGTTGCAGCGACATTGAATGTAGGTGACCTTGCTCAAGGACCAAGGCAGATTAGGGTGTTCCCGGTTTTAAGATAATCGTGTTTAGGGCGTTCCCAGTTTAGGTTCCAGGTTTAAGGTTTAAGATTATTCCTCCTGGGAATAGGGTGTATCCTGCTGCCTGAGTTCCCCTTGAGTTCTCACGGGATTCAGACAGTTTTTTTTGGAGATAGAAGCCCAGTGGAGGTGGAGTTGGGCAGAGAACGTGGATTTGGGCAGAGAACCTGGATTTCCCCAGAACGTGATTGTAGACGGCTGGTGTGAGTTCGGGAATAAAGAGTTGCTGTTTGAATCTACAAGCTGTGTGGTGGCTCGTGATTGTGTGCCCAGCCAGACTGTGGCAGTCAATGTTTTGAAATGATAATTTTATATATAGAAAACTCCAAGGACTTCATCAAACAAAAAGTTATTAGAACTAATAAATAAATTTAGCAAAGTTGTAGGATACAAAATCAACACATAAAACTGAGGAACATTGCTATATGCCAATATTGAAGCAATTCCATTTACAATAGCTATAAAAAAAAACTTTAGGAATAACTTTTAAAAGAGACAAAAAATCTATATAATGTAAGCTATAAAACACTGATGAAAGAAATTGAAGAAAACATTAAAAATTGGAAAGATAACCCATTTTCTATGGATTGGAAGAACAAGTATTTTTTAAATGTTCATACTACCAAAAGCAATATACAAATTCACCACAGAATACCAAAAAACATTCTTACAGACTTGGAAAAAAATGCAAAACTTTGTATGTAAACACTATAATCCCTGAATAGCCAAAGTCATCTTGAGCACAAAGAACAGAACAGGAAGTATTAAACTACGTGACTTCAAAATATGCTACAAGACTGCAGTAGCCACACAGGGAAATTGTTAGTTACCCAGCCTGCTGTGTGGATCCAGCTTCCACTATTTACTTGGCTTTTTTCCTGTAGTGCCAAGGATGGAACCCAGGGCCTCGCACATGCTAGGTGAGTGCAGCACTATTCACAATTGCCAAGAAATGCAAGCAACCTAAGCATCCACAAATTAATGAATGTGGTACATATACCCTCAGAAAACTATCTAGCCATAAAAAAGGAAATCCTTCACTTGCAACAACATGAATAGAACTGGAGATCACCATGTTAAGTGAAATAAACCAAGTACAGAAAAGCAAGTATTTGATCTCACTCATATGTGCAATTTTTTAAAAATCTCAAAAAATTGAGATTAGATTGATGTTTACCAGATGGCTAGGAAAGGAAGAGGGTGGAAGATTAACCAATGGGTAACAAGTTGCAATTATTTAGGAGAAAGAAGTTCAGGAGTGCCATTGCAGAGTCAGGTGACTCTAGACAGCAATTGTGTACTATGTATTCTAGAAAAGCTAGAAAAAAGAATTTTGAATGCTTTCACTAGAGGGAAATGGTAAACATTAAGAATAAAGATGTTGGGCTGGGGATGTGGCTCAAGCAGTAGCGCGCTCGCCTGGCATACGTGGGGCCCGGGTTCGATCCTCAGCACCACATACAAACAAAGATGTTGTGTCCACCAAAAACTAAAAAATAAATATTATTAAAAAAAAAAAAAAAGAATAAAGATGTTTAACTGGATTATACAACATAGACATGTATCTAAACACTACATGTTACCCTATGTACAATTTAGAAAAATAAAAATTAAAAATGTTTACATTATGAGAATTAGAAAATAAGAACTAAAACAAGTATTGAACCATGCAATAAAATGTGCACACATAAATTATTAATAAATTTATGAATTATTTAGCAATAATAAGTGAATTTAACAAGGTTGCTCAGCATAGGATCAGCAAAATAATAAATAATAAAGTCAATTCGATTTCCATATGCCAGAGACAAAAGGCATTTTTGAAAATACGCTATTTACAATAAACTCAAAAATCTCATTTATTTAGGGAAAAAACATAAATGTGCAAGCTGATGCATTGAAAACCAAAAATATATATAAAGAAAATTAACTAAAGCCCAAAAGAATTGGAACATAATTGTATCTATGAACTGAAAGAATTAACATGTCAAGACACCAATGCTTTCTAAATTAAACTAGAAAACTATAAGTTTTTTCTGTAAATTATGTTGAACTTTATTAACAAAATCTGAAAAAAATCTCAGAAAAGCTTTTTGGAAAAGTAATAATATGGACTTTTAACTTTCATTTGGAAATATAAACACCTAAGAGTTGCCAAAAGAAATTATCAAAGAAGTACAACAAATTTGGAAGATGTCACCAATCAGGAAGTCTTGGAAAGCTTTACAGCCTAAAACTGTAAACAGCACAAAGTCCATCAAGTGCCACAAGTGTGAGTTTTTCACCTCTCTCATCCTGTGTTGGTAGAGGATTGGGACCATACTGTGAATTCAGGAACTTTAAAAGCACTGAGATGCAGAATAATAGAAACAATCTTACCTTGGGGATAATGTAGTTTCTGAATTTAATGTTACAGGTCGCTGCATGGGGCACATTGTTGGGTATGAGGTTAATGTATCTCTGGATCTCATGTACCACGGCATCTGTGTAGGGCATGTGACTTCTGTCCTGCATACAGGGGCTCCGGTGTCTGCCAATCACATGTTCAATCTCTTCCTGGGCTTTAGCTGGTAAGATACAAGAAAAAATAGAGTAAGAGAAAATAGTATATTTGTCACAATAATTCAAGGCTACATGAAGTATGAAGCATTATAAGGCCATAAAATACAGCTACACTTAGAATTGCTCTGCTGTGGATACATAAGCTCCTATAAACTAAGCATTAAGATAATTCTTTGTTTAATTTTTTATTTATTTTTATTTATATATGATGGTGGAGTGCATTACAATTCTTATTACACAGGCACAGAAAATTTTTCATATCTCTGGTTGTATACACAGTAAATTCACACCAATTCATATCTTCATACCTGTACTTTGGATAATAATGATCATCACATTCCACCATCATTAATAACCCATGCCCCTTCCCTTCCCCTCCAACCCCTCTGCCCTATCTAGAGTTCGTCTATTCCTCCCATGCTCCCGCTTCCTATCCCACTATGAGTCAGCCTACTTATAGCAAAGAAAACATTCGGCATTTGTTTTTTTTTCTTGTTTTTTTTTGGGGGGGGGAGGGATTGGCTAACTTCACTTAGCATTATCTTCTCTAACTCCATCCATTTACCTGCAAATGCCATGATTTTATTCTCTTTTATTGCGTTAATATAATTCTATACACATCTACACATTACTGTATAGGATAACTAATACATAGAAACAATGAAGTAGTTCAATATATAAATATCTTATATATATGAATGCAAATTACTATCCTCACAAAAAGAAAAATGGAAGACAATAATAAATTCCACAACAAGTTAACAAAAGGTATTTCAAATTTTGAATTCCACTGACATATTTCTATGTGCACATGGGTTTGTGTGCTCTGTATATGTGTGTTTATTTTCAACTTGCAATGAAAATACACTCCCCAAAGGCACTTACTTTGAAACATTCTAGAAGTTTCTTCCGTAAATTATGTTGACCTTTATTAACAATGACTTTCTATTACTTGATCATACTATTTTTAGACAATATCTAAAACTTACTGGTAATAGAAATAAGGACTTACATCTCTATCATCACCTTGTGCAAAGTATACAAAGACACACACACACACACACACACACACACACATACACACAAACAGGTAAAATTTCCCTGCTCTCTTTTTCCCAATGTAATAATATCATAATTATTATTTTGTCAGTATTCATTGTTTTCATTAATATGACTTTAGAAATATCATTTACAAGTAAGCAGAGCATGGTGGTACATGTCAGTAATATCAGCAGCTTGAGAGGCTGAAGCAAAAGGATTGCAAGTTCAAGACCAGTCTCAGCAACTTAGCAAGGCCCTGTCTCAAGATAAAAAATGAAAAAACCTGGCCTGGGGATGTGGCTCAGTGGTTAAGCAGCCCTGGGTTCAATCCTGGTACTGAAAAAAAAAAGAATAGTTTTGATTTTCATTTCTCTAATTGCTAGAGATGTTGAACATTTTTCATATATTTCTTGATTAATTGTATGTCATCTTCTGAGAAGTGTCTATTTAGTTCCTTGGCCCATTTATTGATTGGGTTATATGGGGTTTTTTTTTGGTGTCAAGATGTTTTAGTTCTTTATATATCCTAGAGATTAGTGCTCTATCTGATGTGCATGTGGTAAAACCTTGCTCCCAAAATATAGGTTCTCTATTCACCTCACTGATTGTTTCTTTTGCTAAGAAGCTTTTGAGTTTAAAGCCATCCCATTTATTGATTCTTGATTTTAATTCTTGCACTAGAGGAGTCTTATTTAGGAAGTCGGGGCCTAATCTGACATGATGTAGATTTAGGCCTAATTTTTCTTCTACTAAGCACAGTGCCTCTGGTTTAATTCCTAGGTCCTTGATCTGCTTTGAGTTGAGTTTTGTGCATGGTGAGAGATGGACATCATTACCCTAAGTACATGTATGAAGACACAAGTGGCGTGATTCTACTTTGTGTACAACCAAAAATATGAAAAATTATACTCTGTATGTGTAATATGAATTGTAATGCATTCTGCTGTTATATATAGCAAATTAAAAATTTAAAAACAAATAAAAAATAAAGAAAGGAAGAAATATCATTTAAAGTAAAACAATTATAATTGTGCTTCAGCTTTTGTGAAGCAAAACAGTCTTGGACTTTAAAAAGTGTCTATTTTAATTCCTAACTTTTAGATGCCAATTTAGAATTACTGCAAATTTTCATGTATGTTTCAAATTTCTAGTAATAATTTTCTCATTACTAAAATCATCAAACGATCACTCATGTTTCTTTGGTTCTTGGTGTCTTTTCTAATACCTGCATTATCCACCTGACCCATTCCAGGACAGGTGCCCAGCAACAAGGACTCTCTCATTGACCTCTACTTTGTGTACAACCAGAGATATGAAAAATTGTGCTCTATATGTATAATATAAATTGTAATGCATTCTGCTGTCATATGTAACAAGTTAAAAATTAAAAATAAATTTAAAAAAATAAAGAAAGAAAGATATTTACAAGTAAAACCATTATAATTGTTTTACTCGTCCATTGACCTCTCCTGATTCCTGGAACCTCTGACTTGGTTTCAGACATTTGGATAGAGCACATCCTTTAGTATCTTTCTGAAAAAGTAAAGACAAGAAGTAAAATTTTGCCAACTTATAAGCATGAAAATATTTTTTGTCTATGAATGCACAGAAGACAGTTGTTATTGAGAATTCTACTGTCATTCTCATTCTTTTTTAATATTTATTTTTCCGTTTTCGGTGGACACAACATCTTTATTTTATGTGGTGCTGAGGATCGAACCCAGCGCCCCGCGCATGCCAGGCGAGCATGTTACCACTTGAGCCACATTCCCAGCCCCTCTCTTTCTTAATCTTCATATATGACTTGATTTATCCTTGAAAGTATTGGTAATTTCTCCTTTAAGCCTGGTTTTCTGAAATTCTATAAAATGAATGTTTTTATTTTATTCATTTCTCTGGACATTTGTTGTGATTTTTTTTCTAGATGGCAAAAAAAAACATGGAGGTCTTTCCATTGGCACTACTCATTCTCTAGAGTTTACACCTGGCTGCTGAAGCATGAATAAGATGGAGAAGGAGGTAAGGGTCTCATAATTTGAGTGAACTCTTACTTAACCCTTCCTTCAGCCCTGCACTCCATTCTTTCCCAGTGTCTGTGTTCCTGAGTGCTGGGCCCTTAGGCTCAGTTACTTTAGAGAGTGATCACCTTTCCTCTAGGAGAAGTTATCTGATAAATGGTGAGATGGAAGGAACCTGGGCAGGGAGACCTCCTGTTTCTGATTTGTCCTCCCTCTATTTCTTTGACACTTGGTTCTGCAATATACTGAGCCTTATGAAAGTTGTAGGGACACAAATTGACCTGTTCATCCATGTTAAATCTTCCTATTATGACATTCAGGGTACGATTTCAATCATTCTGCCTAATTAGTCACCTCCTGTTCATGTGTTCTGTTTCCTTCCAAAGTTTTATAAAGATTTACTGCTAATTTCTACACTCTTCAACTTACATAGAAGTAATTCTCATTTGTAATTAATTTATTATCATCTCAATGGAACTCTGACTCAGGGAAAAATATATGTTTATTAACAGAATCTGCTGAGAGGTAATTTTTTTTAAAAAATTAAGGTTGCTTGTAAAAGAGAAAGCTATTAATAACTCAGAAAAAAAATTCTCTTCTTGGCAAGTATTTATCTAGACTCAGACTTCTAGAATAATAAAATGCATTAGGCACATATTCTGCCTAAATAACATCTCTTTCTCATAAATATGAGCTATTAAAATACTTCTCAGAATCTGGAAATTTTCTCAAGCCATTTACTAAATTTCCAGACTATTTACTATGCTTTAACAAATAATTTCCATCTTCCCTGACCCCATATCAGAACACCACAGTTTCAGAATAAAGATCTATAAGAACACATCTATTATTCAAAGTGGTCCGTTCTCTAGAAAACCAATATACAAGGATGCCTGTGCCTGTTGAGAGCCACAGCCGAAGGGGCCCCAGCAAACTTCCAGCTGCCAGCAATCCAGCTGCCGGCTGATGATTGGCTCACAGCGGCCCCAGCAACATCTAGCTGATTGGCTCCTCGGCCCCAGCAACATCTAGCTGATTGGCTCCTCTGCGGTGATGCTCATTGGACTGTTTCCCTGCCCTTTCAGACCACGGAGCTGCTCATTGGGGGACTTTTTGGCTCTGCCCACATGACCCAGCCAATCGGCCTCAAGAGCAGGAGGATTGTGGGAGGTGGAAAGAAGCTTGTGGGGGGAGAGACAGGCTTGTGGAAAGCCGGTGGTGGCAGTTGAGGCTCTGAGGATTTTTCCTGAGAGGCTGTTTTGTTTGGCGTGTGTGGTTCTAAAAATAAAGTTAGTTTCTTTTGACAAGTGGCTTCTGATTGTGCCCAGCCAGACTGCGGCACAAAGTGGTCCGTTCTCTAGAAAACCAATATACAAGGATGCCTGTGCCTGCTGAAAATTCCCTCCCATGACATCCAAACTCTTTATCCAGAGTATTTTGTCACTAAAATACATATACTTTTCTCTCATTCACTTTCTTCTATTTTCCAAATTTGTCTCATTGTTATCCCCTTGTGACATTAGTAAAAATGATATCTCATAGCCCACACATTTTGATAATTAAGTTTCTCTAAGAGGAAAACTGTGGAGAAGACTTGCAATGTGTCAAATACATCTCTGTGCTCATACCTGTAATTTCTTGGTGCTTCAGCAGGAGCAGGAGTCCATATCTCAGGGTGGTACTTGTTGTTTCTGTTCCAGCTACAAACATGTCAGTTACAGTGGCCAACAAGCTTTCAATAGTAAACTCAGACTGTTGATTGTGATTCTCCTAGGAATTTTTGATTATTTAATTATTAAATAGCTACCATCATATTGAATTACAATAAATCCAAAATAACACAGGTTATTCCAAAAATAAGCATATTTAGAAATAGAAAGTATATTATGCATACAACTGAATTGTATAGCAGAGAATGTAAATTAGTTGACCCAATTTTCATTTTTTATACCCCTTATTTCTTGTTTGCCTTAAAATTCCATTGCCCAGATTTTATTGCAGCTATGTTGGTCATGATACATATTTGAAGCCAAAGATATAAGAGAAGGAATCTGCTAGTATGATTTTCTCTTTCCTTCTTCTTACTAAAACACATATGTGACAATGGAGCTGGTACAGGCAATACTTGGGAACATGAGTATTTCAGCTTTAATGCAAAGACTCATACAACAAGTATAGTGATGAATAATGGCAGGCACATGAGTTCTTGGTGATTCAGGGCTATAGTATTAGCTCTGGACTAAACAATAGGAGACTCTCTGTATATGAGATATGCATACTATTTTTTAATCCATTGTTAATTTTTTTCTTTCTTATTTACACACAGAATCTTAACTGATACAAAAAGATAAATCAGAGCCAAATCTTGTAGGATATTATGAGTCATAATCAAGAGTTTGCAGTTTTTAGCTGGGCACAGGGGCACATGCCTATAATCCCAGCAATTAGAGAGGTTAAAGCAAGAGGATCGTGAATTCAAAGCCAGCCTCAGCAATGCAGTGAGGCCCTAAGTAACTTAGTAAGACCCTGTCTCAAAAATAAAATATAAAAAAGGCTAGAGGGTTGGGCTGGGGTTGTGGCTCAGTGGTAGCACACTTGCTTAGCACATGTGAGGCATTGGGTTTGATCCTCAGCACCACATTAAAATAAATAAATAAATAAAGTTCTTATGTCCATCTACAATTAAAAATATTTTTTAAAGTGGCTAGGAATGTGGTTCAGTGGCTAAGCACCCCTGGGCTCAATCCCTGGTACAAAAAAAAAAGTGAAAGATTGCAGTTTTTAGAGCACAACATGAGCCACAAAGCTGAATAAGAGACTTGCCTCTCCCTCCTCCCCTGAATGCACCTCTACACAAATCAATTCCCTCTCAGAGAAAGTCAGAAATCAGTTGAGAAAGTCTTACACAGTTGCCATCAGAGGAAATATCCATACAAAATGAAATGTAAAAGCCACAAGATTTTTGGGCAGTGACCCCACCCTAAGGACTAAAGCCACACAATCTTGAAGGAATCACCCCCACTCAGATTTTCCCTAAGGAGAGGAGGGATTAGACCACAGTTATTACACCCTAACTCAAAAATTCCGCATGGTTTGTCTCTTCACCAACTCTGGGAATAGAGGGGATCATGCATCCATGTGTTGTTTGAGGGTTTTTTACATTTTTGCATGCATTTTATATTTTTCTTCTTTTATTAGTGCATTATAATTATACATAAATAATTGTCATAAAGATGCTTACTGAGAGAGAGCAATGAAAGAAAAAACTGACAAAGGGGAATGAAAGGAAGGGAGCGGGGATAGGAATAGGAAAGACAGTAGAAAAAAATCTAAAATAATTTTCCAATATATACATATGAAAAGGCCTAAGTAAACCCTACCATCATGCCCAACCATAAGAATGGGTTCCTAATTAGAATAAGATATATCCCATGCTTGTATAATTTTATCAAAATGGATTCTGCTGTCATGTGTAACTAAGAAGAACAAATAAAAATAAATAAATAAAAAGAACAAACTGAGAATTTCAGCAAATTACAGAAAATATATTTCTCAACAACTATAGAAAATATAAAACAGTGCCAAAAAGAAATTATAGTGATGGAGAATGCTATGACTGAACTGAAAAATTCAACAGAGGAATTCGACAGCAAAATAGATGAAGGAGAAGAAAGGATCAGTAAATTCAAATGTAGGTTGCTGCCAATCTGAGAAGAAAAAAAAAAGAATGAAAAAGAGTGACGACAGCTTAAGGACATCAAGAACACAATCAAGTGGAACAACATAAGTAATGTTGTCATGCCAGAACAGAGATTGAAAGAAGCAAAAAACCTATCAAAATATATAACAATTTCCCAAGTCTGGAAAAAGAATTAGAAATCCAGGTTTGGGAAGTTCAGGGGACACCAAATAAGATGAATCCAAAGAGAACCACACAACACACATAATATTCAAATTGCCAAAAGTTTAATGCAGAGGATTTTCCAGGCAGCAAGGTAAAGATGACTTATAACATAGAAGGGAATTATAATGAGATTCTCAGTGAATGGATTATTTTCAGCAAAAATCTTACAGGACTGGGTGAGGGACATGCTTATCAATGGATACTTACCCTGAAATTCTAAATATAAAAATATATATGACAAGCCTACAGCAAACATCTTATTCACCACTGCAAAGTTGGAGGCATTGCCTCTAAGACCAAGAAAGCAAAACAGTAACAAAAGGAATGGGAAATGGGCAATCTCTTCAATAAATGTTAACGTGGAAACTGGGTATCCACGTACCCAAGAATAAAATTTGACCATTACCTCAATCCTTGTATAAGACTCGGCTCAAAATTCATTAAAGACTTCATTGTGAGACATGATACTAAAAAACTACCAGAGGGAAAACCTCTATGTCACTGGTCTGGAAGGTGATTTCTCAGATATAGCCACAACACCACAGGCAATGAGAACTAAAATAGCAAATGTGATTTCCTCAAACTAAAAGTGCCTGCACTTCAAAGGAAACAATTATCACAGTGAAGAGACAATCTACAGATCAGCAGAAAGTATTTGCAAATGAGGAGGGGCTAATATCCTAAATATATAAGGAATTCAAATTACTCAATAGCAAGAAAATAAATAACACTATTTACAAATGAACAAAGGATATGAATAAACTCTTCTCAAAAGAAGACTTACAAATGGCCAAAATATATGAAAAAAAATATTCAACATTACAAATCATAAGGGAAATGCTCACTCCATTTAGAATGGCAAAAAAAAGTCAAATTACTTCAGAGTAATAATAGAGCTGGTGAAGATGTGGAGAAAATAGAACCCTTGCACACTGTCGATGTATATGAAAATTACCAAACAGCATCATAGTTCTCACCACTGCAACTTTCCATACAAAACCTATCATTTGCCTCTCATCTACTCCTCTACCTAAAACTCATTTCTGTAGAGCTGTAGAATATGACAAGAGTGAAGACTTGATTTTGTTTCATGATCTTCAAACTGACAAAGTCCAAAGAGGTGAAAAAATCTCATAGCTGGCTCATACATATACCTGATCAAATCCCACTCCAGGCCAATGTTCAGGTTTTCAGAGTACTTGAAAGAAATTTCCACCTCCTTATCTACCCAAATTCATTTCTGGTTACACTCACCTCAGACTTCTTTCCTCCATCTGTACCACCACACACATTTGAACCTCTCCTCTGAAATCCCCTCCCCTATTTCTCTCAGCAAATACTTGAAGATCTACATCAAACCTCAAGACAAGCAAGAAGACCACATAGGTTAAGCCCTTCCTGCTCATTCTCCCACATGCTGTGTGATAGGTTGTGTCTACTTTTATTTTATGACTTGGTATTCTGTATTTTCTAATGGGTTCATATTTCCATTTCACCAGAGGCATATAATCTGTCTTTCCTCAAACAGTTTATTAGTGCCTAAAAACAGTGTCCATATAGTCTAACTGAATTTAAGAATTCAATTTTAAATCTTCCAAGAGGTTTAGTCCAGATCCATGCATGCACTAGGCACTTAAATGTTTACCAACTGTTTCTTGCCTGACCAATTACATTCCCAATAAGTAAAGAAATTATTATTGAAAGAAGCACAAAATATAAGCAAACAAATAACATTTTACCTGTTTCATTTTGATCAGGAAGCAATCAATGAAGTCCCGGGGATTGTCTAGGTCCAAGGATTCTTGGTGATCTTTTACTTGTTCCAAAACATAACTTTTTATGTAAGCAAAATTTTTAAATACTTTGTTATGACTCCCTGGGAGAAAATCCATGAGAGCAGGGAAAGCACTGCAGACCTTAAAGATTAAAGTAGTATTTATTAGGCCAGGAGTAGTGGTGCACCTACAGTTCCAGCTACAAAGTAGGCTGGGCTCATGAGCTGGAGACCAGACTGGGCAACATAGTGAGACCACTTAGCAAAAATAAAATTAAATTTTAAAAAAAATTACTGAAGTCATATACACCATATGCCAATCATGGTTAAAAAGTGTGATGACATGGCATTTGCAGGTAAATGGATGAAGTTAAAGAATATCATGCTAAGTGAAATAAGCCCATCCCCAAAAACCAAAGGCTGAAAGTTTTCTCTGATATGTGAATGCTGATCTATAATGGGTGAGGGGGGTCAGGGGGAAGCCTGAGAGGAATAAAGGAACTTTAGTAGGGCAAAGAGGAGGGAAGGGAAAGGAGAGGGCTTGGTGGTAGAAAAGATGGTGGAATGAGATGGACATCATTAACCTAATTACATGTATAAAGACACAAATGGTGTGCCTCTACTTTGTGTACAACCAGAGACATGAAAAATTGTGCTCTGTATGTGTATTGAAATGCATTCTGCTGTCATGTATAACAAATAAATAAGCAATTAAAAAAATAAAAAGAAAAAAAGTATGGTGAATTAAAGCTAGATCTCCAATATGTGATTGCACATATAAAGGAATCCTCCATGCTGTCAGGGAGATGGGAATAAACTGACCACGTCATCAAACATGAGAAGAATGTCCCATCCTGATACATTTTTTACAGCATTAGGGCATCTTTATGTCACTTCTCTCACTTACAACCTTGAAATATAGAATGCCATGAATTGCTATGATTCACATGTAACACATGAGCACAGAGGTTAAGGACGTTTGGACAACCTGATACAGAGCACACAGCCACTCCCTGCTATTCCTTCCACCAGCAATAAGCCTCAGGAACAGAATTACGATTTTGTAACTGGGAGGGGTGCAAAGATACCATGAAAACCAACACTGCATTTTATAGACAAGCACTTGTGCACAAGAGTGGTTAAATAACGCCTATAAAATCATGCAATTATCTTTTAGGCAGAGTTTAGGGCACAGTAGCTCAACAGAGGGTAATAGTGTGATGTTTACTTATGGTTCATTCACACCAAAAACCAATCATTCTGGGATCTTGACCCTGGTCACTTTCTCAACTAGGATCCCAGCTGAAGCCTCAAACACACTCACTACTCAGAGGATCCTGGCAGCAGCTGTGTCCCAACATTCTCCATCCTTGATATTCTAAATTACAATATTGCTGCCAAGTAATGTCATGAAGAGCTCCTTAGTGTTGACTGGCAGACCAGCCTGTGGGTCATGGAAACTTTTCAACAAGAGCCCTGGACGTCCACTGTGTGCCTGGGCATGCTTTGGGGCAGTCACCAAAGTGCTGCCTAGAAACAGAGGTTTGGTGGGAAAACCACTAGCCCTTGGGCTTGAATTCTACCCCAAGATTCAGGCATTTGTCGTCTTTGTAAAAATGAAGGGCTGTCTACCTTTTTGAGAGGTTCACATATGATACTAAGATCTGGACAGGACTGTGGTGTCTAAACATTTACTTCACAGTAGGCACAGTAGAGAACCCATCCCCCACCAAAAAAAATTCAAAATATCTTGGAAAAGCTGGCAGAATCAACTTTGTCAGAACTCTGGAAGACAGAAGTTTACAACAAAGGGAAAGCTGAGTTTAAAAAAATAAAATAACTAAAACTCACTGGAAAGCTTTGTGGCATTGCTTCTGCTCCTCCCACCTCCCTCCCTGGCTTGGCAGTGGCCTTAAGGAGGGTAGCCCTGTTCCCAGTGAGGGACCCTGGTTCTTGGTTCCAGAGGAGCAGAGATTGTGTTTCTCTGTTGTAACCTATCGAGGACTACCTGAAAGACAGAAGTAAAGCCTTTGTATCCTCTTCATCTGAGTCAGAACTCACTGGGGCAGAAAAGCACAATGGCAATATCAAAAACCTCATAATGAAAAAAAACTCATAATGTCCTACAGAAGGAAAAAAAAAATTTAACTTAGAATGTCATGAAGCAACCCTAAACCAGCCAGGGCAAAAGAGTACAGTGAAGGCACAACAGCCTAGGAAGGAAAGCTGGGAGGAGGGTATCTTTGAAAAATTACAACATTCAAAAGCACCCACACATTCTGATAAATTCAAACAAATTCAGACAGGCCCAGGGCAGAATTTGGGCTAAGAAAAGACCCTAAGTTTTCACCTCTGCTGAATTCTAGGCTGCCTACAAGCAAGTTGCCTGGCATAGAGTCAATCTGGAGAAAGTTCCTCCCTCCCTCCCTCCATTTATTTTGGCCCTTCTTCTTTTTTTCTTCTTTCCTTTGGTTCATCTTTTCTCTCTCTCTGACTCTCTGCCTCTCTCTCCTCCCCCTGTCCTCCATTTTCTTTCTCTCTCTTTTTGGCTCCTCACCTTCAAGGACATTTCTGTTGAAACTACGGGTACATAAGCTAAAGGAGCAGAGATTTCAGAGACTACACGTGACAAAGATTACAGACTTTTAAAAAATGACTTAGAAAAGTCACACAGTTTAGAATTTGTGCTTATTTCATTAGTTTTTCTTTTCATATACCATGTATGACTTTTGCCATGTTGTTGAAAACAACATTCTACAGAAAGGAGAGAGAGACACTATCAAACAAAAAAAAAAGAAACAAAGAAAAGAAAACCAAAAAACCAGGAAGGAGGATGAATCTGCTTTCCAAACAATTATCTATAAACTGAGGTATGAGAGAAATGTTTGAATAGTGAACACAATGGACACTGATGTAGAACTTCGGACTTGTCAGAGAAATAAACACAAATGGTTGTTAAGAAAAGATGATCTTGGCCTCACCTGCATCCATGGGGAATTCAAAATCTTGAAGTTTTCATTAAATTTTCCCATCAAGTTAAGAAAATTCTTATCTTTATAATCAAAACGATTCTGGAAAATAATGGAGCAGATCACATTGCAAGGAGCGCAGCCCAGGATGAAGGTAGGATCACTGGGTGAGCCTGAAGAATTGGAAACAATTTTGAAAGACATTAAAATATACATATAAAAGTCTGTGTTTTTAAAGTCACAAACAAGGGTAACTTTAGAATCTCTAAAACAATTCTGACACAGAACTCTCACATGCTTAAAATCAACACATCATTTTTCCTTTGATCCTAAATTGACTATTCTATCCTAGCTGTCTTAATAATTGTTATACAAATACTCTTTTAATATTCACGCCTCAAGTAAACATCACTCTTTGTGTGCATGATTCTGATCCAAGGTCCCTGTTACTTTGGAAGGCAAAGGGTAAAAACTTTGAGTGGCCACTAAATACACAATGAAATATTACTCAGCAATAAAAGAGAATAAAATCATGGCATTTGCAGGTAAATGGATGGGGTTAGAGAAGATAATGCTAAGTAAAGTTAGCCAATCCCAAGAAACCAAATGTCAATGTTTTCTCTGATATAAGGAGGCTGATTCATAATGGGATAGGGAGAGGGAGTGTGGGAGGAATAGATGAACTCTAGATAGGGCAGGGTTCTTGGAGGGGAAGGGAGGGGGCATTGGGTTATAATGATGGTGGAATGTGATGATCATTATTATCCAAAGTGCATGTATAAAGACACGAATGGGTGTGAATATACTTTGTATACAACCAGAGATATAAAAAATTGTGCTCTATATGTGTAATAAGAATTGTAATACATTCCGCCATCATATATAAATTTAAAAAAAGAATTAAAAAAAAACAGTAAGGGCTAGAGTCATAGCTCAGTCGTAGAGTGCTTACCTAGCATGTGTGAGGCACTGGGTTTGATTCTCAGCACCACATATAAATAAATAAACAAATAAAGGTCCATAAACAACTAAATAAATTAATTAAAATATGAAAAAATCTTTAAAAATAAAACACCTAGTAAGGACTTGGGATATGGCTCAATGTTAGTGGACTTGCCTATCATGGGAGAGGCCTTGGATTTAATCCTCAGTACAGGGGGTGAAGAGAAAACCCTTAATAATTTGAGTTAGTGCTGAAGCACATTGTCAAGATGAGCAAAAGGTATGACTTATGCAGTCCAGGGGGAGAAATAAAGAATATCCATATGCTTTTGCCCTTTTCAATGCTTTGTTCACTCAAATCACTTAATACAATTTCACTCTACAAGTTCTTACTCAAGAAAACAACAATCCTTAATGCTAGGCACTGCAATAGACATAATCGATTCACAGCAAACAATTCTAGATTAAGTAATTCTAAGCACTGCAAACACACTTAATCATGACAGGCTCATGACAGACATTCCCTCTGCATGCTAAGTTCAAGTGTCAGATCAAAAGTCTCAAGCCTTAGTTAGGCTCTAAGTCCAGCAGATGCACACTCACTCACACCACAGTGATCAGGTCCAGAACCAAGGCAGGTTTCTGAGGTGGAGCTGATGGCCTGTTTAGGAGGTAGTCCTAGGGAGAAGTTGCAGGTCTCACCAGGGTCAAGATGTGGCTGTAGAGTTTGAGAGCGGTGAGGACAATGCAGAGGTTCAGGCAGATGAAATGAGTTGGGATGTCAGTCCAGTCCTCAACAGGCTCTCCAGCTTGTGTCATCAGTATCAAATGGATGAATATTTGTTCATTTGCTCTATTATTTATACTAAATTTGGGGGCTTTTGACCCCCCCTTCAATCCTTATCAGTTACCACCAGATTTCAGTTACCACCAGATTTCTCAGTGACATCATTTACCCTGGGGTTAACACATCTGGTCTGGTGGTCTCCCCCCTGATCTTCTCACCTTTTCCTCTTACCAGGCCAGGACAGCCTGCCAGGGGCTGCACTCTGTTTATTATGGTAAGGGGAAGTAACTTGTTTGAGGTCATACTGGAGGCCTCTGTGGTTGTGCCTGGTGAGACTGCAGGTTTCAAACTGGAGTTTATAGTTTGGAGTTGCTTAGGCTCAGGCCTAAGGCCATCCTCACACACATCCACCTGGGAAGCTTGTAAAAAGTTAAACATTGACATAGGAAGGATTAAGCAACCTGGAAACTTTTATATGGAATAAATAGTTTAAGAAATTATAGGAACTATATGTAGAACCAGCACAGAAGCTGACTAAATTAGAGAGAATAACTACAGGAAATGCAGGCATTTGCAGGTAAATACAAATGTAAAAAGGCAAAAACTATCCATGTTATATGAAAAGAAAACCTAACAAAAATTAGCACATACTCTTGGGGCTAGGGTTGTAGCTCAGTGGTAGAGCGCTTGCCTGGCATGTGTGAGGCCCTGGGATTCTCAGCACCACATATAAATGAATAAATAAAATAAAGGTCCATCAACAACTAAAATAAATACTTTTTTAAAAAAATTAGCACATACTCTAAGATAGATCTATTAGCTTAAGATAAGTGAAATAAGAAATCTTCATTTCAAATTTAAATCACAGGTTGGACAAACACAAAAGGTTACATCAATAAATGAAGTCCTTTTATTTCTTCATTTCAATACTGAAAGGGAAAATTTAAAAAAAAAAAAAAGAATCTCCTGCTCTAGGAAATAGTGTCCGTCATCACAGAGTCCACCTTTACTGTATTTGGGCAAATCTTGGGCTCCTGTGGAAATATGGGTTATTGCTCTATATAGTTATCAACAGAATACTGAATGTGTAAGAATGGCCTTAACCTAAGAAGGGCCTTAACCCAAGTAACTCCATTTTAAAATAAAACCACAGTCCCCACCAAGCAAGCCTACAGAGCCCTCTAATATTGTCATCAGGCAGAGCCTGATAAAAGCAAGTCACTTTCCACAACCCCGATAAAAACTCAGAGTGAAGTCACTGTCATTTGCCTTTGTCCTGATAAAGTCAGAGGCAAGAAATCAGGCCTCAACTCACTGGTACAGTAGTCCTGACCCCAGAATCAAAAGACCTCACTGAGAAACCCAGTAGCGGCTGATAGGGATCAAAAGGGTGAGTAGAAGCCCCAAAATCTAGCATAAGTGAAGGAGCAAATGAACAGACATTCAGCCAGCTATACACTGATGCCCCCACATGCCAGAGAGCCTGATGAGGACCTGGACTAACATCCCAACTCTTCTCATCATCTGCCTGATCCTCTGCATCATCCTCACCACTCTGAAACTCTACAGCCATATCTTGATCCTGGTGAGCAGCGACTTCTCCTTATGATGGTCTCCTCAGCGGCCATCAGTGTCACCCCAGGAGAATCCTCCATTGGTTCCTGACCTGATCACCGTGGTCTGAGTGAGTGTGCATCTGCTGGACTTAAGGCCTAGGCTTGAGACTTTAGATCTGGCACTTGAGCTTAGCACGCAGAGGGAATGTCTGTAATGAGTCTGTCATGATTAAGTGTGTTTGCAGTGTGCTTAGAATTAACTTAGAATTGTTTGCTTTGAATTAATTATGTCTATTGCAGTGCCCAGCATTAAGGATTGTCATTTTCTTTTTTTAAAATATTTTTTAGTTGTAGTTGAACACAATACCTTTATTCTGTTTATTTATTTTATATTTATGTGGTGCTGAAGATCGAACCCAGCACCTCATACGCACTAGGTGAGCACTCTACTGCTGAGCCACAACCCCAGCCCCAGGAGTGTCATTTTCTTGATTAATAACCGATAGAGTGGAATTGTATTGAGTGATTTGAGTGAATAAAGCATTGAAAAGGGGCAGAAGCGCATGGACGTTCTTTATTTCTCCCTCTCAACTGCAAAGTCACACCTTTGCCCATTGCAAAGTATGTTATTACGAATTTTAAATTTGAACATCATTTAGGTCTATTCCATAATTTTACAGAAAAGAAAATGGGAAATTTTTCTTTTTTGAATGGGCAACATTTAAATAAAATTTCTGTAACAAAATTAGCCAAAAAAAAAAACCTTTATATGTAAAAGCCCCCAAATATGCATTATAGATATAATTAAGGGGAATTTGAATGAAAAGTGTTATGAAGAAATAATAGGGAATTAAATAATAGAAAACTGTTTAGTTAACAACTCTTATGTCTGGCTCTTTTTCAGGTGAAATCCTAGGGCATTAAGCTTTCAAGAAAAAAATTCTTATTTTACTTTGGAAGATAAGGAATAATTTGAAATTTCTCTCTGTGAATGTGTTTGTTTCACACACAAAAAAATCTGATTTTCAATCTTTCCCTTCATTTAGAAAAAAACAGTATATTTTAGGGTAATTTCAAGCTGGAAATCAATATGTCATAGATGAATAGAGTTTGCACTGGGGGTAAGTAATTACCATAAAACCTCTAACCCCAAACTAAATAGTTTTAAGATGCTCCTGGGATCCTGTTTTTGCTTGGATGTGCTGAAGACAAAAAAGCAGGAGATCATAACCATTGAAAAGACTGGTAGTTATTACAGTCCCCAAATAAAAAATGCCAGTCCCCACAGGGCCAATTTCCGTCAGGAGGCAAAAGAAGCAAGGGGAAGTCATGGAGCAAAAACCTCATTGGAGTTTGCAACAGAAGGAATGAGTGAAGTAGGGTAGGTACACTGTGTATCTCATTGGATAATCTGAATAATTTCAGTGGGCTCGGGACTATAGAGATCATCAATAGTTATTCCATAGCTGTCCCTGGGATGATTAAGAGCAAGGAGAATGTAGCTTCTCTGAGAGTGATAGAGGACCCCTATACAGCTTCTCTCATGCAGAAATCACCAGTGCTGTGCCCCCTTGCAGGACTCTTGACCTCAGCATTCAAGGAGGACTCTGGCTCCTGACAACCAACTCCCAAAGTACTAGGGCTTGCAAGCACCTTAGCACCGCTGCAGAACTCCCAGATGCCACTCCACTCCACTCCACGCAGGACACTTAGATGCTACCTACCCTCAGGAACTCCAGCCGCCACTCCCCTGTGGACCCCCATGTACCAATAAGGGAATCCCTGGGTCGCCTCCATCTGGCGACTCAACTCCGCAGCTACTGCCATAGTCCCGTCCCCTACATGGTAATCTGTATGCACCTGGGGACATCTCACAGGCTCTGAAGGCAGCCAAAGCCACAGTACTGAATGTTACAGAGCTCATTTCTGAACACATCACACAATGCCATTGCCCGGCTCTCCCCACCCAACCCAAAACCCGGCGCTGGAAGCAGACCGCCTCCATCTTGGCTTACCTTCCTCACCATATTTGGTGGAGGAAGTTCCCAGATCGGAACTCCAGCTGGCCAGGTGCCTGCTTTCCAACTCCCCCCTTTTCCCCAGCACAGTAACTGCCCAACACAAAACAGCTCTCAGTGGTACAGGTGCACAGTGTGACCCTGGAGCAGCCCCTGGAAGCCCTGGTGAGAGAGGTCCCTCAATTGGGAACTACTAAGGGAGAGGGAGATGGGGCTAAAGTTTAGAGACTAATGGAGAGATCAGGAACTGGGAAATCTTCAGGCAAGATAAAGGGAGATAGGACCCAATGCTCAAGTCATATGAGCAGACCCAAAAAGAGAACCATGAGGTGTAGTCTCCCTGTAGGGACTGGCGGAACCCACTCCTCACTTCCAGGCACCCTACAACAGGACCAGTCTTTCCACCCTGGTTACCTTCACCATTCTGAGGGAAGAGATATCAGCTAACAACAGACAACACCACCTATTGGATGAGAAGGGAAGCACAAAAGATACTGCTCTCTAAGATATCAACAATCCTGGTTTCTTCCTTGGAGACTTTTTTAATTTTTCTCTTTTTCTTCTCTCCCTCTATCCTCCTGGCCTCACATCCCCAACATATGTGAAACCAAGTACTTTGCATGATTTAGGATTTTGAGGACTGGGGCATTTGAATAATACACTATAGGTGTGTTGTATAGGCCTTTTTTTTTCTTTTCTTTTTCTTTTCCCCTCCAATTGTTACTATTTTAACATCCTTTATTTTTCTGAATACATATGTGTGTTTGTTTTATGTACTCTATTGACTTCCCACTTACTTGTCTACCCAAAATTACTTCCTCTCTATTCTCTTGCTACGAATCCTCTTCATTAGATTTCTCCTTCACACTTCCTAAGATATATTAACTCTACATCCTCACATACTACCTCCTCAGCATATTGTCCTATGTCTCACCCCCAGTTCATTGTCCACCTTTTCAGAAACTGTAAACCCTTTTACAAACCTACTGATTATATTATAGATAATAATATAATTCAACATTTCTGTACATTGACCAAACTGTAAACATCTTAATAGCAACGAATTGTTCATAGGTGGTATATTGTTGATAGTGGAATCTGTTAATGTTGTCCTTCCCCATAAAGGAGAGGTATTGGAACCATACAGAAGCACTATAAGCCTATAGGGTTAAAACAATAACACCCCAGGCCCACAGAGCTAGAAGGGAAGACACACGAGCAACATGAAAAGACAAGGGAAGAAAGTGCCCCAAACAAATCAAGAAAATACAGCATTAGCATCCATGGCCAGCACAGCAGATGAAATGACAGAGAAGGAGTTCAGGATGTACATAATTAAAATGTGCATATCATCCTGTGCATTTAAGGATGATAAAAGAGAGCAAATACAGGCAGCAGAATATCATTTTGACAAGGAGCTACATGAACAAATACAGAAAGCAAAAGATACTCCAACAGGGAGATAGAGGTTCCAGAAAAAAAAAGAAAAGAAACAGAAATCCTTGAAATGAAAGCAACAATAAACCAATTGAAAGCTTCACCAACAGAGTAGATCACTTGGAAGACAGGACATCAGACAATGAAGACAAAATATATAATCTTGAAAAGAGCGTAGACCACACAGAAAAAATGGTAAGAAACCATGAGCAGAACATTCAAGAAATATGGGATAGCATAAAAAGACCAAATTTAAGAGTTATTGGGAAAGAGGAAGACATAGAGTTCCAAACCAAAAGAATGAACAATCTATTCAATGAAATAATTTCAGAAAACTTTCCAAACATGAAGAATGAGTTGAAAAACCAAACTTAATAAGCCTACAGGATGCCAAATGTACAAAATCACAACAGATCCACACCAAGTCACGTTATAAAGAAAATGCCCAACATACAGAATAAGGACAGAATTTTAAAAACCACAAGAGAACAAAATCAGATTACATATAGGGAGAAAACAATTTAGGATAACAGCATATTTTTCAACATAGACCCTGAAAGCTAGAAGATCCTGAAAAAACATATATCAAGCTCTGAAAGAAAATGGATGCCAACCAAGAATCTTGTATCCAGCAAAATTAAGCTTTAGATTTGATGACAAAATAATCTTCCATGATAAATGAAAGTTAAAAGAATTTGTAGCTTGGGCTGGGGATGTGGCTCAAGCAGTAGCACGCTTGCCTGGCATGCGTGCGGCCCGGGGTTTGATCCTCAGCACCACATACAAAAACAAAGATGTTGTGTCCACCAAGAACTAAAAAATAAATATTAAAATTCTCATTCTCTCTCTCTCTCTCTCTCTCTCTTTAAAAAAAAAGAATTTGTAGCTAGAAAACTGGCACTACAAAACATCCTTGGCAAAATATTCCATGAAGAGTAAATGAAAAACAATAATGAAAATCAGCAGAGAGGTAGTACCCTAGAGGAAAAACTAATCAAAGGAGAAAACAAGTAAAGTTAAATAACAAAAATAAAGAAATATGGCTGGGAATACAAACCATGTCTCAATAATAACCCTGAATGTTAATGACCTAAAATCACCCATCAAAAGACATTGGCTGGCAGAAAACAAAAACAAAAACAACAATATGCTGCCTCCAGAAGACTCATCTGATAGAAAAGACATCCATAGACTGAAGGTGAAAGATTGGGAAAACTCATGCCACTCACATGGACTGTGGAAGCAAGCAGGGGTTTCCATCCTCATATCAAATAAAGTAGACTTCATGATAAAGTTAGTTAAAAGGGATGAAGAAAGACATTTCATACTGCTCAAGGGAACCATACACCAACAAGACATAACAATTATAAATATATATGCACCAAACGATTGAGCATCTTTGTTCATCAAACAAATTCTTCTCAAGTGAAGAGTCAAATTGACCACAACACAATAATCTTGGGTGACTTTAACACATCTCTCTCACCATTGGATAAATCGTTGAAACAAAAGTTGAATAAAGAAACTACAGATCTCAATAATACAATCAATAACTTTGACTTAACTGATATATATAGAATATTTTATACTTCATCAAGTGAATACACTTCATCAAGTGAAAACACTTTCTTTTCAGCACATGTGCTGAGAAGAAAGTGTATTTAGACCATTTTAGACAATGGTCTAAAATAGACCATATATGCCACAAAGCAACTCTTAACAGATACAAAAAAGTAGAAATACTACCCTGCATTTTATCAAATCATAATGGAATGAAATTAGAAACCAATGACAAAATAAAAATTACTCCAACTCCTGAAGACTAGACAATATGCTACTGAATGAACAATGGGTTGCAAAATACATCAAGGAGGAGATTAAAAACAACAATAAGTGTTGACGAGAATATCAGGGAAAAGGCACACTCATATATTGCTGGTGTCACTGCAAAATGGTGCAGCCAATATGGAAAGCAGTATTCAGATTCCTTGGAAAACTGGGAATGGAACCACCTTTTGACCCAGCTATCCCATTCCTTGGTCTAGACCCAAAGGACTTAAAAAACAGCATACTACAGGGACACAGCCACATCAATGTTTATAGCAGCACAATTCACAATAGCTGAACTCTGGAGCCAACCTAGATGCCCTTCAGTAGATGAATGGATTAAAAAAATGTGGCATTTATATACAATGGAATATTACTCAGCAATAAGAGAAAATAAAATCATGTCATTTGCAGGTAAATGGATGATGTTGGTGAAGAAAATGCTAAGTGAAGTTAGCCAATCCCAAAAAACAAATGCCAAATGGTTTCTCTGATATAAGGAGGCTGACTCATAGTGGGGCAGGGACAGGGAACATGGAAGGAATAGATGAATTCTAGATAGGGCAGAGGGGTGGGAGGGAAAGGAAGGGGACAGGGGATTAGCAAGGATGGTGGAATGTGATGGACATCATTATCCAAAGTACATGTATGAAGACATGAATTGGTGTGAATATACTTTGTATACAACCAGAGATATGAAAAATTGTGCTCTATATGTATAATATGAATTGCAATGCATTGCACTGTCATATATAATAAATTAAAATTTTTTTTAAATTAAATATTTTGTAGCAGCCAAAAAAAATAGTTCATTGTTTACAGGGAACACAATAGATGAGTCCTGCACTAAGAGATGCCTAGGCAAATAAATCACAGAAAAGCACCACTCCTGTCAGAAATTGCAGGCATGGGTCATAAAACAAACCCAGACATGTCAGTGAGGCTGATGGAACAAATATGAAACAATTAAGTGACAGCACATGTCACTTTCTTATGCTCCATAAAGATGTGATGAGGTCATTCCCCATATCTACTTGACAAGTGCTCCCTGATAAAATGCTCTAGAAATAGTTGATCCACAATTACATGACAGGAAAAATGTTAGTCTTTAATGACTTTTTTTTTGTATTGAGTCTCAGAACTTTCTGTCTTCATGATATATGGATTTGAAAACAAATAAATAAGCTGGGGAAAATGTAGGATTCAATGAGTGTTTTACCTACACTTCATTCATAGTCATCATGAACAAAAAAACAAACATACAAACACGAAAGCCCCATTGGCTCTCTGCCTCACACCATTGCCTCCTCCCCATGAGAGATAGAAATCACCACCCAAGGATGAAATATCCGGCCACCCCTGCAATGTTTGGAAGGACCTCATAAGAGAAGAGAGCAGTGTGTTGAGGTGAATAACATAAGAGTCACCCACCACTGTTCTTCCTCAACTCCTCCACAAGGCAGCGGGCTTCCTCTTGAACGCGGTCTTCAATGCTCCTCTTTCCCATCCCAAAATTCCTCAGGGTCATGAGGGAGAAGCGTCGGAGCTCCTTCCATTTTGTTCCATTGCTGAAAATGACTCCTAACAGAATGAAATATAGAGAGAAATCCAAAGCAAAGAAGAGAAAAATGACACAGGGCAGCCAAGATCTGTCTGAAGAGCTCAAATCTCATCTCCAGGACCACTGCCTGAAACACACTTGCACACTCATGCACATTCACACTCACCAAGTTCATTATTAAGTCTTTCAATTACTGGGAAAGTGCCTCTTCCAGAAAACGCCTCTCCTAGATCATCCAGGGCTTCCTTCACAGCTTCATAGCCATGCACCACCACCATGGGCTTCCTGCCCAAATACAGTGTAAACACAGGGCCATAGACTTTTGACAGCTGGAAATAGGAAAGAAATGCAAATATTAGCAAGTCATAATTTCAAAATGTTCATGATTCCAACTAACATTATTATGTTGTTGCTATTTTTATTCTACCAAACACAATTTTCAATCTTGCTGAATTTTATACATAAATAAGATGGTAGTTGTTGATTGTTACAGCCGCCACATACATAATGACTCATTTGCCAGGAAATTGTCAGGGAAATTACTATGTGAACGGTCACAATTAATCAGTACCTTGAGACAGATTTATTTACTGTTTTACAGGTAAAGAGACTGAGGTTCAAAGACTTTCAGATTCATTTCAGTTTCCCATAGCTAATAAACAGAATATCCAAATTTGTCAACTTCTGGTAACTGAGCAATTTGTATCAGTCACCAATGCCTAGAATAGCTGCTGTTGGACATTGCTTGAGAGTCACCTGATCTCCATTTTTAAACATCCCTCCAGATGATTCTAATGCATAGACCAGTTTGAGATCCACCAATATTATTAACTCGGGAAGAGAGTGGTCACAACAGAGAAATATCAGGACATGAAGCATTCCATAGAAGGACAATTCCTTCCACACTGGACATTCATAGGTCACAGACAGGAACTCTATGCAGTGCCCAAAAGCATTCTGATGCCACTCAGCTGGCTCTCATAAATTCTTTCTTTTATTCACATATGTTTTTATAGACCCATAGGTATTTCCTTGACAACAGATAAATTTGCTTCTGTGGAGAAGTTTATCATGGCTAATCTAAACAAAATATACACCATGTTCAGTAAACGACTTCTTGAATAAAATCTCTAATCTCAAAACATTTGTGCTGTCACTTACCTTCAGGCAAAAAGTCATAGCAAATGACTATGAATCAAAAAAGCTTAGTACTTTATCATTTTGAATCTACCACACAATTTAATTATTTCTCTCCTAGCAAAATGCATTATTATAATTTCACTTTATCTGACAGTGACAAATCAAAACTAATAATCCACAGGGAGTATTTGCCTTATAAAAATATCTTTTAACAATTTGCCTCCATTGGTATATTTTATTTAAAAGAGTGAATTATTCATCCTTTGCAAGCCACTGAAGGAGCACAAAGCATACTTACATGCGTTAAGGATTTGCTGATGTTCTTAACATCTATCTGCAGGATATTTCCAATAATTGGGAGAGGAGTAGGGCCAGGAGGGAGCTTCCCCCTCCCAGAGCTCTGTCTCCATGCTGAGAGGAGAAGCAGACAGGAAACACCAAGGACCAAGGCCACGACTAGGTCCATTGAACCTTCTCTTCTAACTGAAACAGCTGTGAGCCTGCAATCCACAGCTTTTATAACACTCCCTGCTAACTTGTGGCTCTTTGACACATAAGTGGCCCATGAGCTGATTGTCCTTTAATCTCTCTTCTGAGTGGACTTCGACCCATGGAAAAAAACATGAAAATAAGGTGTTCCCTACACTTGCACTCCTTCCCACAGCCCCACCCTGGAGACTCTAGCGTACCTAGTCTGGGGTGAATCCTAGGTACTATTTTTAATGTTTTTAAAACACCCCATTGTTTCCAACGTGCACCCAGAATTGAGAACCAATGAGAAAAATTTTTTGTTGAAAAATTGTTCAACCTTCTCAATTCTTAGACTGACAACCAGTTGGAAATTTCTGACATTTAGGTCAATCCATGTGTTTTATTCCTTGCATGTAAAATAATGATTACCCAGTCATGACTCTCAAACTCTTCATACCATTACTCTTTTTAAATATTTTATTCTGCTGTACTAACATTACAGTTGCTTAAACAGGTAAGAGCTATTATAAGTCTTGAATGACTGAACATGTATCAAGTAACTAGCTAATATACATTTCTTTTACTAATAAGTGCTTTCTAGAGGAATTGAAGACAGAGGTTATTATTATTATTATTATTATTATTATTATTTTTTTTTTTTTACTTTTCAAATAAGGAAAGCAGAATTTGAGAGAACAAGAGACCGTCCGTGTCACACAGCTCAGAGGTGGCAGCAGAACTGGGATTGGAATGAGCTCTTCCAATGCCAGTTGTGGTAGGCTGTGGCTTCCCCACAGCTGCCTGGAGAACAATTTTAGCAAAACCGAAAAACTTTAGTTATTGTGAATATAAACCACCCACAAGCTGTTCACAAAATAAAAACCATACACTCTCTAGTGAGGAAATCAGATAGGGTTTCTCTCCTCTCTATCACTACAGAAGGAAAACTTGCTTAGTGCAATGGAGGGAAGAACCAATCTCAGAAAATTTCGGAGGAGAAAAGAAGGAAGATGATAGAACGAACAATAAGCATGTGCTTTGGTGGTGGGTGGGGGAGACAGAGACTATCTTTCAATAGTACACACAGCACAGAAGGACCCCATTGTGCAAACCTGAACAGAAGATGACATTCAGTGGTCATGAGGGTCTAAATATCGGTGAAATAATGTACACCACTAGATCACTAATGGCAATGCTCATACCAAAAAAAAATTACAAACACGGAGGTAATGGCAATGCTTGTATAAAGTAAAATTACAGACAGAAGAACACGGAGGTAGGGAAGTCTTTAAGTGCACAGCACAGAATGTCCCCAACATGTGGACCTGAGTAGGATAAGATATTTAGGGGTCACCAGCATTTAAAATTGACTGGAATGATATATATTATTAGACAGGTAATGAAAAAGCTTATGCAGAGGCTTGTTTTCTAACAATATCATCACATTCATCCTAAATTGACTAGTGCAGTTATTTCTAAGCACCTTTAATTTTTAAAAAATTAAATCTGTGAAGAATTAATTACATAAGGATTTATCAGTCATGTTTACAGGGATTCTGAGGATTTACAGAGGATTATCACACCTGTCATATCCCTTCTGATTCTCTCAATTTCCTTTGCCTAAGATAAATTATTCTCACTGTGGAGCTGAAGAGTTGGGCCTTAGAGATGCATTGCCTTGGCCAAGGATACAGAGACCTGTAGGAGGGAGAGCTGAGGCTGGATCCCACCTTCCTGACTCTTGCACCCTTCCCTCCACACCAAACATTCACTTCCACGGGATTTACTAACATCCACATGTCCTTTGATTCAATATTTCATGATTCAGTCTCAGACTTTCAAAATAAACATTAATTTAGTTAATTATTACACTACAAGTTTATTAAAATGACACATCACATTTATTAATCAATTCAACACAGGGCTTAGTGAATGCTTTATGCAGGGCAAAGAAAAACAGTAATTTGCTGCCTTACTCTCATAGCTCTAAACTCTATCAGAACCACAGTAACTCTATTTAGAGCCATCGTTTCATTCCTTGGGGCAGCCCTCTCCACTGAGTTTGCCCTATGGGCTTGGACTTTGAACCTCCAGAACTGTGGGGGGAAAAAACAAAAACCTCTTTTTCATAATAGACTCTGTTAGGTATTTCTTTACAGTGATGAAAAATTAATGTGGAAATAATAGGCATGGTCTTTGGTGGTTTCTGTAACATCTTCACAGCAATAAACACACCCATTGCATTGATATTGACTCTAAACCAGATTTTCAAATAAAGGAATGAGGAGTATTTAGAGAAATGGCTAATTGCAGAATACAGAGAGGGAACACACAAATGAGTCTCAGAGACTTTCAAAATATATACTAATTTAGTTAATAATTACATAATTAATTTTATTCCATAAAAGTTATTTTTCCCATGATATTGTTATGGACACTTGGATTGTTTCCAGTGTAGGACTATTTTGAATAGTGCTAATATAAACATTTCTATTTATGTCCTTTGGATATCCCAATGGAGTGCATTTGTGTTCAATACATATCTATGAGTGGAATTGCTGAATATGCATATATTCACTCTAAGTAATATTGACAAAAAACTCAGATTATTGAACCAATTTTTAATTACACTCTAAGAATGCCAGTTGCTACAAGTTATTGACAGTACCTAGAATAATCTGTCTTTATTTCATTTTAACCATTCTGGTAGATTATATCATTGTATTTTATTTAAGTTTTAATTTGAATTTCCATAAAATTTAATGCTACTGGATGTTCCTTTCATTTATAAAGGCTGCACATGGTAATATATATATAT